AATGGGCTTTTGACTGGGTATGTTGTTGGGGCTGTTCCAGGAGCACAGGCCATCTGATTCTCCAATAAACAAAAGAGAAGCCGGGTTCGCAACAAATCTTGTTTCCTTTACTGGTTGGACTCCACTGCCACGCTCCCTAATCACAAATCCTACTGGTTGAGCTCATGAACAGGACATTGACGTGTAGTGTAGAGGTGTCTGGTACAGAAACAGACACCCTCAACAAGCTTTGTTTTGTTGCAGATAATAGGACTAGAGCAGTTTTACCTGAGAGTTGGATACTCTGAGTCTCCACCTCAAGTAGAGGATCTCAAGTATCTTTTTGGTATGGTTCAGAAATTATTGTTAACGTTAAGCAGGAAATAGTTAGACTAACTGATTGGGACCTCACCTGCACTAAAGGGTTACGTCCCAGTGAAGGAAGCTCCTGGACGCACCTAGAACTCACAAGAGGAACTAAGTATCACTTTCCACTGAGTGGAGACTCAGGTTACCCTGCTGGACCTTTAACCTTTGTTACCCAATCTTGGATAAGCAGATCTTCAACAAAAGCTTCAAGGAATATTGCAGTATTTTGACTAATTCAAAGTCCTAAAATTGTATGACTTATGATGCAGGAAATTCTCAACAACCTTTCAACAATTTATCTGAAAGATTTCCATCCTGGAGTGCCATTGATGTGTTTCTTCTCTCTGTAGGTGGCAACATGCGCCAGTGTGTTAGTTATATACAAAAAGGTTTAATAGCTATGGCAGCACCTGCTGTCTCTATGTTTTGGCTCCACTGTGTTACATAAAAGCAGTATAAAGCCTATCTGAGTATTTATGAATAGAATGAGCGCATGTTGTGATCCAGTTAAAAACGGTCCTGTTGTTCCATTTTGTCGCAGTTAGACACGTAAATATAGAGACAACAATATGCTTATCAGGCTGCATCAGGTGGAGAATAAGTTGGTTCATATTGCTGAAACTTGACTGATTCAGAGAGAACTGTTGGAGTTAAATATGGAGTATTACAGAAACCTTGTGTGGCTACAGCATATTATTTTCACGTTCACAGAAAAAAATACATCTGCAGCTAAGATCAGCATCAGTCACGTCGAATCTCACAGCCGTTCATGTAGTTGCATCATGAATATCAAAGATTTATTACACATTTTACTACACATTAGTCCAAAACTAAACCGAACAAGATATATGTCTCTCGTACCCGTTACGTGTGACAGACATCATGTGTGACGATTTGTCACAGTTGTATTATCTGTAATTACTATAAATATATCTTTTGATTGGTTTTCTATACAATTTGGCTGTTAGTGTAATCTGGCAATATTCAGTTGCTCCAATGAGACAGGGGGTCTTCCTGTTCACCAGACTGATTCCTTAACCCCATATGGACAAGTGACGCTAATTAGCCTCATGCTTATTTTGATAGTTGCCCGTTTGGGAAACGGGCAACTATCAAAGATGACGACAGTGAAAACATGCATAAAGCTGGACGACAGTTGAAGGTTGAAATAAGATTCCCATCTTTATTGGCTGTTGTCAAAATACAGCTGGCAACATTTGACACTGGTGTGAATGTAGATACAAGTTTAACAGACAAGCAGCCAACCGACTAAAATCTCTTTAATACAAAGTAGTATAATTAGCTTGTTTGTCTGTCAAACTGCTGTTCCAGTTTGTGTGCTTTAACACATTATTAACACCAGAGATGAACCAGAACCTCAGGAAAATCCACTTATGAGATTTTAGGTACTTGTTTCCATCACCATCTCACACAACTCTGTATACCAACGTTGAGAGAATCTGATAGATTTTTCCACCACTGATGTGATTCTTGGAAAAAAAAAGAGCTTGACATATAGTGGACTATTTTTAAAGGCTTGACCTTCAAGTTCTGTTTCTAGATGTACACACTATAGGTTGAGAAGATAGCAGGAAATGGTGTGAAGACAGCCAGAAAACCTGGACATTATTCTCCTTTCTCATTATTCAAGCCAATCTGGTGTCATTGAAAACATAAAGAAGCATTTCACCGCTACAGAGGTTCATGGTGGAGCAGTACAGGAAGTCTATTGTCTGTAGTTCTGAGACTTTAAATTACTTCTGTTAGTTTATAAGTCACTGAGCGGCTTAGTGCCAAAACACATTAACGACCTGTTGGTGTTGTTTGAACTTTCCATGCTCTAGTCTTTGTGTCCCTAGAACTAGAACCAAACCAGTAATCTGGAACAAACTTAAAAAACCCTGCAAAACTGCCAAAACACTGGTTTCTTAAAATTAAGACTAAAAATCAATTTGCTAGAGTTACCTAAACAAATTGTAATAACTGGAACGCCAATAAACATATCTTATATGTATTTGCTTGATGATGGCATTTAACAAAATGTTATGTTTATTGCTTGTTTTAAAATACTGCATTATATTTTACGTCGTAAAGCACTTTTTCTGAAGTATACTGTACTAATAAACTCGACTGGTGCTGACAAAAATGCGCATTCGAAAGATCGGCAAAACATTAAATCTATAACCGACGTACACAAGGAGAAGCATTGAATCAATTTATGATGTGTATAATAACAGAGATGAATGATAAATAATAATCAGTCATGTCTAAGAGTAATTGTACTGAATGATTTGTTCATTTGCATACAAAGTGTGGAAGATGGTTTGAATTTATTTGTAAATGTAAAAAGTCCAAAGCATGAGTCATCTGAACATATAACGATATAAATATGATGAGGGAGGAGAATTAATTAGTGTTGTTGAGGAAAAAGGTAAACACAGAGGTGGGTCAGCTCATGACACACATATAGATATATAGAATATATACAGCCACCAGCTCTACCAATTTATTATCTCCTAAGGGGGATGAATGGACTTCCCGGATTTCATTTGGATAAGAAATGAGGCACGGCAAAGAAAACCTATCCGTCATCATTCCGGCGTGCTCAGGACAGCCTATGAATGGCTTTTAAGAACACCATTTATTACGGCTTACTCTCCACTGTATACCCCTGGTTCCTCTTAAAATGTTCAATTGCACCTCCACTGGTCATGAATCAAGATATGGACTCACAAATCCCAGAGGACTGAGCCTGAGGGAGAAGAATTAACCGCACCGCCGGTCCTCTGCAGAACAGAAGCCTACCACCGCTGCTAATGATATTGTTTTATTCTGCATTTAATAGAAAAATACTTTTTAAAAATATATATTCTCAATTTTGCTCATTTAAAAACTGCTACATTCTGCCTCTATAAACTTTTCTATAAACTGAACTAGCTTGATAGCTAGCTGGCTAATCCTGGGAATCCTGGGAACTGTGAGGAATCACAGCCCCGACATATCACATCAAAGAATATATAATTTGTATACTGATGCATTAATAAATTATGGTCTATACATTAATATATTATGGTCTTCCCAAGATGGAAGTGGATTTCCACCAGATTAGAATAACCGTCTTGGTAATCATGTGAAAACCATTTTATGAGCCTATAAACCACAACGTTTTTCTGGTGATTTTATAATCTTCTTCCGTTAATATTGTAATTTTATTCTGCTAATATTACGACTTTATTCTCATAATTTCAAAAGAAAAAGAATCTCATAGTCTGGCCCTAAAACTCTCTCGTAGGGAGTCATTGTGCACTGAATCTTTTCGAATACAAATCACAATAGTGTCCATACATATATATTTTTTTTCTTTTTAATTTATGTTGAACTTTTCAGCTTATACCCACTTTTTTGTTGCTTATTGATATTTTTATTGACCGCTATATTCTTCGATTGATCACATTAATTGATATTTTAAGATTCAACAAAGGTCATTTTACAGCAGATATGAATTATCCTGCGAGATTATTCCACTCGATTCTCATCACTGGTTAGAAAGCTAGAGGACAGTAATGTTGTTCCACAATGCCTTTCCCTCCAACCCAACTTCAAAAATGAGGAAAACAGTTTGAACACTATGATGTTTTTGAAGCTGTTATCAAAAAACTAAACTCTATTTTAGATTATTTCAATTAAACCTAAGCCTTCCACAGCCTGCTAAAAGAAACCTGCAGCATCCAGTGGGATTTCTGCCTTCAGTGTTGGGGGTTTGTCAGGCTGAATAAGCAGCAATAGTTGCTGTCTCTGCCCATTTTTGTCACAACAATGAAGCATGTAATTGTTCTGTACACATGCTTCAAGGCCAACAGCAATATTTACCCTGCAAACACTTCTCACTCGGAAGTCTTTCATGCATGCAGGCGCACATTTATTTATTTGGTGCTCCCTTGTTGAGGGGCCACAAAGCAGCACAAAGTTGCTGTGCATTACTGCCATGACCCTGAAAGCAGGTTACAATGGCACCCGTAATACATATATATATATATTTTTTTTTTTTTTTTTTTTTTTTTCCCATACCAGAAATTTTACTGGCAAGATCCGGCCAGTGAAAATATATTATATAATTTTTGATATCATCGCCTGCAACAATGGCCTAAGTAACAAATTTTTTTTTTTAAATGGTAAAAAAAAAATACTTTATTTAAATAAATTTATTTGTTATATCTTGATTGGATGCCTTTGTATAAATTGAACAATAATTTCTGAGGCGATCATTATTTTTCCAGTGAGCGTTGTCCCCCATTAATCCCCCACTTGGGGACACCACTGGCAGGTAGAGCCAAAAAGTATGGCTAGACAGTGGAAATATTTTTCTTAAGTCTGCCAATGCTACACTAAACCGGCAGTTAATTTTGAATAAATTTTAACTGGCATTTTAACTGGTTATATTCAAAATCAGACTTTCTAGCATCTTCGGAACATCTGAGATAACTTCACACCAAGCACGTGTGTATTTTTTTTCTTCTTTCTTCAAAATATCGGAGTGAATTAAAGAGATTAAAGAGCACGTTTCTATGCTCCCTTTTCTTTACGCCATGATAGACAGGCTGCTATGATGAGGAGTAAAGAGCACAGATTGTGTAATGATTCAGTCCTGCCCACATTTTCCTTTTGTCTGTAATTTTCATGATCTCAATCTGTCATTCAGCGCTCCTCCGTTCCACGTGCAGCTCTGTGCTGCTGTGGGAGGACCCGCGCGCTCTGAAAACATCATTATTCAGCCGTGCCACGCAGAGTTGCCTCCGACTAGAGATGCTCCACATGGGCAGAGAAAAGGGAAACACATGCTCAACCCCTGACCTGACGCGGCGTTCACTCCAAAACTCCCCGCTGAATCCACGGAGACGAAAAGAGCAGACTGCAGTGAAGACGAAACAGAATAAATTAGTACACAAAAGTATGCAGCGCACTCACACACTGCCCCCTGGTGGATGGAGCTAAAGAAGCAGAAGTGACTGGATCTGCATGCTGAATGCAGATGTCTTTTTTTTTTTCTTCTTTTTCGATTAAAAGGAGGTTTTTCTCCCTTATTGGTTCACTTTCAAATTACATTGACATTAAAATTAACAACCACACTCATCTGTTTAACTAACTTAGGTCTTCTTCCCTAAGTTGAGCTCTTTGGCTTCAGCTTTAGCTTTTTCCTTGCTTTGGGAAAGGGGGACATCTTTGTTCCGGTGTCGATTTGCCCTCAGTAAGTCGTATCAGCCATTTTTTTCCCCACTCTGGTTCATTCTCCTCAAAAGCTCTTAGTGTAATTTGGCTGGGGGAGCACATATCTCACCAAAATTGCCTCTTAACAGATATAAAGTCAGACGAGCTGCAATCTTTTTTATTTTTTGTTACCCTAAGAACAGTTGCGCAAAAACTGTAAATTTTATCAGATAGTGGATGGATTACTTCAAGTATCATAGCATCTCAAAAGTATTCACATTTTTGACATTTCTTTACACTTTGTCACTGAGCTGTGCATAAAGGTGGTGTGAATAGCAATTGTAATTTGATCTCAGTGAAACCTCAGTAAAAATCCAGTCGTTCTGTAGGGAATTGTTAGGGAACATTAGTGAACAAATGGCATCATAAAGGAACAGGACATGTCGGTGAGAATGTTTTGAAGAAGTTAAAAACGCATATAAAACCCTTCAGCTTGTCGTGTCGACAGACACGTGGTTAATGCAAAAAGCACAAAACCTTCCTGAGTATTTTAGCTTTGCTTCTGGCGCAAATATTTTAATACACTTGAAATAAGAAAACTAACTTCCAGGTAACTTTTTAGCAAAATATAGGAGCTTATAGCAATAATTCCTAAATATTAATGAAAGACTACTACTTCCACCAGGTGCGTTTCCATTACAAATGTGTGCAAAACTTTGCCAATATTCCACTAATGTCGAAAAACCCAGTTTCACAATCACGGTGTGTCCGTTAAATAAAAAACTGTTCACGCAATAAATAGGTCACAAAAAAAACAAAAAAAAACAAGCAGTGCCAGCAATATACCGCTTCCAGTTGTCGTCTTCTTCGTGATTTTCACCAGTAGTATCATCCGGTTGTTGGTCATGTGACTCGTGTGATGTGAAAAAAGTGCTTACGTGCAGTTTTACGACAAACTAATTTCAATATGGCCAAAAAAAAAAAAAAATATATATATATATATATATATATATATATATATATCATAGCACCATAACCTTTTACAGAAAAAACAAGAGTTGTTTTTTGTTTTGTTTTTTTCAAAATTGGTGTGTTCACATTGAACAAATTCATTTTTGAAATGTGAAATTGGACAATTATATGGTCATTGGCAGATTATTTCCATTATAACATGGGAAAAATGTGTTGTTATAAGTCTTCCTTCTTTAATTGCGTTACTGTTGGGGTGAGGAGGCTACACAAAATTATTCCTATGGATGCAAATAGTCCCGAGGCCTCGCTCTGACTTAGCCAGGATGGCTCACTCCTTCTTTTGCTGCTTTTAATGTACAACAGAAATAAAACTGACATTGATAGAAAACTCATCAGTGAGAATAATTGAAACAAAAGGCTTCAGTTTCCCATGAAGTCAAATGATACTGAAGTAATGGAAAAAAGTGGTACATCTGAACACACCGAATGACTTGTTTTTTTTGTTTTGTTTTGTATTTTCCCCCCGATCAATGGCTTTTATTCCTTCCCTGATGATGTAGGCCGTATTCCTAGATGGCAATGCCAGGATTCATTGGCCTCAAATAGAGAGAGATTGCTTCAGAGAGCATGATTCTCATTTTAACACCTGGATTGGTCTCCGCAGAGTCAGGACCTGAACTCCACGGAGAATCTCTGGGTACAGACGTTAAACAGCTGTCTGGCTTTCTCACAAGGACTTGATTTTAGAAGATTATTGTAGGAACTGCAAAAAGGCAGTCATTNGAGTTTTCTAGACATGGCTTTCAAGGGAATGTCCTTAGAGAGCCAAACCTGTTGTCCAGGTGAATACTGAGGAGCTGGGCGTCTCTTGCGGTCGGCAAAACGGCGGTTCTGGTCAGCCGTGCGGTGGAGTGCGGAGATGGTCCGTTTCCAAATGGTCTTGCAGCGACGGATGTGATGACGTACCAACGTAACAGCGATCTCCGTTTCATCGGTGGGCAGCAGGGGAGTTTGGTAACCCAAAGAAACCTTGAAAGGGGACAGGCCTGTGGCAGCTGAAACAAGAGAATTATGGGCATATTCCACCCAAGGCAGAAACAAGGACCAGTCTGAGGGGTTGGAAGCGGTGAGACATCGTAGGGCGGATTCAAGTTCTTGATTTAACCGTTCTACCTGACCGTTAGACTGTGGGTGGTAACCGGAGGCGAGTGTGACTTTAGCTTCGAGGGCTGTGCAGAAGTGTTTCCAGACCTGAGATGTGAACTGGGGTCCTCTATCAGAGAGGATGTCCTGTGGGATGCCATGCAGGCGGAAAACATGTTTAATCAATAGCTGGGCTGTCTGGAAGGCAGATGGGAGTTTAATGAGAGGGATGAGGTGGCAGGATTTAGAGAAACGGTCAATAACAGATAAGATGGTGGTCATTCCCTTGGAGAGGGGTAAACCAGTGACAAAGTCTATGGAAATGTGGGACCAGGGGCGTCTGGGAATGGGTAATGGCTGCAAAAGACCAGAGGGTGGCTGATGGGAGGACTTATTGCGTGCACAGGTAGGACAGGCCGAGACATAATCTTTAATGTCTTTGTGAAGAGAAGGCCACCAAAAACTGCGAGAAACCAGTGCTATGGTACGACTAACACCAGGATGAGCGAAAAACTTAGACGCGTGCGACCACTGAATAACGCGAGATCTGACTGAGGTAGGAACAAAAATCTTGTTAGGTGGGCCAGTACCAGGGTCGGGTTCAGACTGCTGTGCTTGTTGGATAAGATCTTGGACCTCCCAGGTGACGGTACCAACAGTGCAGCTAGGAGGCAGGATGGTGGCTGGAACCTTCTCAGAGTTGTCAGGGGCATAAATTCTGGAAAGTGCGTCAGGCTTAATGTTTCGGGAACCTGGACGGTAAGTGATGAAAAGATTGAAACGGGAGAAAAATAAGGACCAGCGGGACTGACGGGGATTAAGTCTTCTGGCTGATTGTAAATAAAGGTTTTTATGATCAGTCCAAACCAGTATGGGATGTTCCGCCCCCTCCAGCCAGTGCCGCCACTCCTCCAGGGCAAGCTTTATGGCCAATAACTCACGGTCTCCCACATCATAGTTACGCTCAGCGGGGTTCAGTCTGCGTGAAAAAAAAGCACATGGGTGAGTTTTCTGATCAGAGCCCGACACTTGAGATAACACTGGACTGACACCAACATCAGATGCATCCACCTCCACAATGAACTGTCTACTGGGATCAGGCTGGACGAGGACGGGTGCACTGGAAAACAGAGACTTTAACTTGGCGAAGGCTGCATCTGCCTCGGATGTCCAGGTAAATGAACATTTTGTGGAAGTCAGAGCGGTTAGCGGTTGGGCGGTCTGGCTATAGTTTCGGATGAATCTTCTATAAAAGTTGGCAAAACCAAGAAACCGTTGCAACTGCCTTCGGGTCTCTGGAACGGGCCACTCCAAAACCGCCTTTATTTTTTCATCAGATGGTCTCACCTGTCCGCCCTCAAGAATGAACCCCAGAAAGGACACTGATGGCTGATGAAACTCACATTTTTCAGCCTTTACATAGAGTCTGTTCTCCAGGAGTCGTCGTAAGACCAGGCGGACATGGTGTCTGTGCTCAGATAGATCCTTGGAAAAGATTAAAATGTCATCTAAATAGACAAAGACAAACGCATTCAAAAAATCCCTCAAAACATCGTTCACTAATGTTTGAAAAAAATGCGGGGGCGTTACACAGCCCAAACGGCATGACTAGGTACTCGTAGTGACCAATTGGGGTCTTAAAAGCAGTCTTCCACTCATCTCCTTGTCTAATGCGCAACAGGTGATAAGCATTCCGGAGATCGAGTTTGGTGAAAACTGTGGCACCCACAACCGGTTCAAAAGCTGAAGAGTTGAGCGGTAAGGGGTATTTATTTTTAACAGTGATTTGATTCAAACCTCTGTAGTCGATGCAAGGCCTTAACAAACCGTCCTTCTTGCCGACAAAAAAGAACCCGGCTCCCAGAGGTGATGAAGAGGGCCGGATGATACCTGCGGCTAGTGACTCAATATACTTCTCCATTGTCTCTCTCTCCGGACGCGAGATGTTAAATAGTTGACTGTCCGGTAATGGAGCTCCTGGAAGTAGATCATACGGACGATGTGGAGGTAGTGAAAGAGCATTTGACTTACTGAACACTGGTGCGAGGTCGTGATACTCAGGGGGAATAGATGACAGATCAGGTGGATCCGCTCCCTGTGGGTTAGCCGGCGGAGATCTAGGAGGAACTGCTGAATGGAGACAGTTGGAGTGACAAGCATGTGACCATGACTCAACATGCATTTCTGACCAGTAGATGTGTGGATTATGTTGTTGAAGCCAGGAAAAACCCAAAACAATCGGGGTCTCAGCCGCCGGGAACACAAAAAAGGAAATAGTCTCTCTGCGGTTACCAGAGATCATTAACTGGAGAGGTTTAGTTTTGTGGGTGATCTGAGTGAGTGCTCTGCCGTTTAAGGCAGACACGCATAAAGGGGTGGCGAGCGGAACGGTTTCAATCCTCATTTGCTGGGTGAATTTAGAATCCAAAAGGTTCTGTTCACAACCTGAGTCAATCATGGCAGAAACAGAAATAGACTGATCTTTGAAAAACAGGGTCGCAGGTAGTAAAAGGTGAGGAGTGTCTTGATTTTGAGGATGGTCCGCCAGTCTCTTCAAATCCTCTGGCGGACCTGGGCTTTTAGCCGTAACTCACAGTTGGAGATGAAATGACCCGAGTCCCCACAATATAAACAGAGTTTGGATCTTAACCGTCTCTGTCTCTCCTCTGGGGTTAGCCGCGTATGCCCCACCTGCATGGGCTCCGGATCGGGTACAGTTGGTGGCGGGGCAAGGAGGGGTGATGTGCGAGTAGCGGTAAAGAATCTTACAGCTGGATCTGTCCTGCTTCTTTCTCTCTTTCTGGCACGAATGCGATTGTCCAGCCGGATAGTTAAATTTATAAACTCATCCAATGTAGCTGGCTCATCAAGTGTAGCTAGTTCGTCCTTAATTTGTTCATTTAAAGCGTGGAAATACGCACGCTTGAGTGCTTCCTGATTCCAGCCTGAAGCTACAGCTTTTATTCTAAAATCTATGGCGAACTCTGAAACAGTCCGCTGTCCCTGCTTGAGTGACCACAGCTCTCGGGAATCTGTAGCCCTGTCAGCATCACGTGAAAAAAATCATCTTAAATTCCTTTAGAAATTCTTCAAAGGTACAACCATAATCCAAGCAAGATGGGAACCAGGATTCAGCCCAGCACAGTGCCTGTCCAGATAATCGTGAAATGATAAAGGATATCTTAGCATTGTCATGTGGGAAACTTTGGGGCGAGTGATTGAACAGAATCGAGCACTGCAATAGGAAGCCGTTGCATTTGCCTCTCTCTCCAGCAAATCTTTCTGGGCTGAGAGGCTGTATTCCGGAAAACATGGGCTGGATGGCAGTGGCGGCTGGTGCTAAAAAAACTGAGGGGGGCGCACACAAACAAACAAATCTTAAAAAATAGCACTATTTGAACATGAATTTTGCCCTCCTTTCCTTCTGCTCTGCAAATTTCTCAATTACATTCTTGTTAAAGTCAGTCATCTCTGTGACTAGTCTTTTCTCCATTGACAACATGGCCAATGCATTCAGCCTGTCCTGAGTCATTGAGTTTCTCAAAAAAGTCTTGATTCTTTTCAGAGTTGAAAAGCACCTTTCAGCTTCTGCTGTGGTCATGGGTGTGGTGATGAGGATCTTCAAGAGCGAGACAGTTTCTGAAAAGACTTCTTCTAGATTGTTTTCCATAAACAGCTGGAGTAGGCCCACAGCACCACAACAGGCTTTGAACTCTTCCTTGCTGTAGATGAGAGTAAGCTCTGTCTTCAGCTTACCTCGATTGAGCACTGGATAGGCTTTTAAGGTGTTGCTCAGTGCATCTTCAGGAAATGCTGTGTTGTATTGTTCAAATCTGTCCCCCTGCAGGAGTGTGGCACTAACAAGGTGGTTTGTGAAAGAAAAGCGCTCCCTGGTGTGTCCCAGTATGATATCAGAGACCTTAAGAGAGAAGGACAAACATGAAGATTATGATTTTATAATCACATTTTTCATTCTAAATATGAAATGTTATTTTGTCCTATTAAGTCATAGAAAGAAAGAACACATTTTATTTATAAACTTACTGATTTTAATAACATTTGCTGCCATTTTTTAAGGCTGTGTTATGAAATGTGTTACAGCATTTTTGTGGGACAAGATTATACAAAATTCAGTAATCAAATGTTTTATTCCCCATTACCCATAAACTTCAGTACAACTTAAATAATAAAATATCTTGCTGACAAACATTACATCAACATACCTACACAGCATAGACACAACTAAAGGTATTTCTAACTACAACGCACATCTTCCTAATATATTAAATAACACTACTATAAACCAGTGTAACAGTGATTTTCCACAACAACTCACCTCTGCAGCAATCCTTTCATGGTCTTGTACACCGAGTGTCTGACGCTTCTTCACTGGCTGATTACTACCTACACTGCTTTGTCCAACCATGGAGTGGAGAGAATTTCTGCCAAAGAGAAATACTTACAATATTAATGAAGAAGAAGAAAAAGAAAAATCAGCTATTTAAACAATTACCTGATCTTTTGAATGTCCTGCTGGAACTGTTGGATGCTCTCCTGGATACAGACTGAATCTATGACCTTCTTCTGGAGTTTGGCATAGAGAAGGTCCACATGAGGCATGATATGGTGGAAAAGTTGCAGAAAGAACTTAAAATCCTGATCCTCCAGTAGCATGGCAAATGCTCCAGCCTCTCTGACTGTAATGGGGTCAAAGTCACCAGTCTTGTATGCTTTCGAAACAGCGGATGAGGTCCTCTCTGTGCTCAAACACAGTATTGATGGCACGGCTGTGAAAGTTCCATCTGACATTGCTGGATGCTGGTAGTCTGTGGGCCACAACTTTATCAAGAATGCTTGTGTGCTTGGATGATCTGGAAAAAAAGCTGGGAAATCCACTAAGGTTAGAAAAAAAAATCTAACTTTGGTTATGTGAGAAGTAGCCTGTTGCATTATTAGATTGAGCTGATGAGCATAGCAGTGGATGTAGTGGGCATTTGGGTACACATCTTGTATCTTCTTCTGAACACCTGCAGTGGCACCTCGCATCACGCTGGCTCCATCATATGCCTGACAGATTAGCTTAGCCTTTTGATCCTCAGGAAGAATAGTTGCAAGACGTTCTTTTAGGGCTGTAGCAATGGAATCAGCTGTAGCCGACTGCAGAGGGATAAACTCAAAAAACCTTTCCTGCACAGTGTTTTTGGCATCGATATAGCGTAGTACAAGCACAAGCTGGCACTGCGTAGCAACATCCACAGTCTCGTCTGCCTGGATTGAAAGAAAATCACTGCTCTGTGCTTCTTTGATTATATGCTCCTTCATTACAGAAAACACACAGTCCAGTAGCTCATTCTGCACAGTTTTCAAAGTTCCCTTAAACACAGTAGCATTCTCAAGGTGCTCTTTTAGTACTCCAAGAGAAGCAACAAAATCAACCAACCCACGAAAGATCCCGGGATTTTCAGAGCTCTTACTTTCGTCATGACCACGCAAGGCCAGCTCAAAGGCTCCACAAAACTTAGTTCTTAATTCTAGAAAGGATGTGCCGATTTTTTGTCACCTCTTCATTGTGCCTTCTAACAGCAATCCTGTAGCCTTCATCTAGCTGTCGAGCAATGCCAAGTTTCCCCCAAAAACTTAGTTTCATTGCATTGTCTAGGTGGCTGCGGCTGTTTTCGTGCCGTTTGCATTTTTCTGAAAGATGTTTTAAGTCTCTTACCCCAGTTGTTGTCCACATTGCCTCCGTGCCAGAACTTTTAAATAGCAAACACGGAAAGCAGTAAAAGGCATTGCTTACATCACATCCAGCCAGCCAACTCCGCTTGTCATAAGAGCTGGAAAAAGCCTGCGTGTAGGATCGTCCACGATCACTTGCCTGCTGCTGAATTTGTAAATTGGGACGATCCGGTCCAAGCTCCTTTATCCTGTTTTTTTCTTCAAGTGAACGCTTTGTAAAAGCATTTTTTTGTAAAGACAAAACAGAATTTTCTCTCATTTTGAAACTACTCCACTTTGCAAACGTAAACGTGAATCGACCTAACGAACTGCAGCTGCGCTAATGAGTGGAATCGGGGATTGTCCAATCCCAAAATGTTTAAAAAAAAAAAATTAGCCAGTACTGACACTCTACCAGTAATGACACAACAGAATGGGTGTGTCCGGGACGCAGAGAGCTGCGCCCTGTGGAAAACCTTAAATAACCAATTAAAAGTCAGCCTCAGATCACCTGCTTGCCAAAAGTTGATGCGCCTACATACACTCATTAGAACGGCGCCCTGCACATAGGATAGGAAGTGTGCACAATGTGAGCAATTAAATAGAATTATGCATTTACTATTTTAATAAATTCTAACATGTCTATTGGACACACAGTATGAATAAATACATTTAAGTATTTTGCAGTTCAGAAATCATTTATTATCTAAAGAATTTAAAGGGGGCGGCGCCCAAGCGCCCCCTACTGGCCAGCCGCCACTGCTGGATGGTACCCACGGAACTGGATGGAGTGGGAGAAGCCGAAGTTGGGGTTGCAGCTGGGTCCGGGGCTGAAGCTGCAGCGGGAGCGGTAGCCTGTCGAGAAGATTGTTTTAAGAAAGTGATTAGTTCGTCAAGCCGAATATTTGTTTCAGCTTGGCGGTTAGCTAGCTCCTGTAGAGCCGAGTCATGAGTTTGAATTATGGTGTGTTGTTCTCGAATGGTTCTCCGTAGCGTTTCTGCTGGGTCAGTATCTTGGCCAGAGTGTTCTGTCATGACGGAAGGTAACTTCTTGACCCACATGCAAAAAAACCAGAGAACCGATAATCAGTAAAAGATGTTTAATATAAAGCACAACAGCACAGATAAACTGTGTTCCGGGGGGAGCGGCAACTGGAGCGGACTGGAAGAGAGAATGGGTGACGAGTTTGAGGACTGTGGGATGTTTGAGTTCTGAACGAGCAGCAACGGTCTTACTAGATCAGGCGGCAGGTAAGCGGGGGCGGATACTGGGATTTCCTGGGGGTGTTTTCGGGTGTGGGGTTCTGTTGCGGAACCAGCTGGAGTCTTGGGAAAATCCAGCGGACGGCGTTGGAGGGCGGACAGATACGGACCTCAGCTCACCGGGGCAGAACGAGGAAGGCAGCCAACGAGGGGTAAGTACGCCAGGTACAGCCAGGAGCTCAAAAGCCTCGAGTGGTCGGACCACGACGTCACGAGGGAGTTGTCTGAAAAAACGAAGAAACACAACGGGAGTCACTGGGAGGTTCACAAGGGATCAACAAACGCCATGATGATGGCCTGCAGTACCATTACTGGTTAACACGCTGGCATCTTTGTGTTGGCTGATTCCACTCTTAAGCTTCTGCGGAGATGAGACAATCTCTGACAGGTGTGAGGATCCCAGCGTTTCCGGTCACGCCCACCAGAGATCATCCACCAGGCGGCCCCCTGGTGGAAGGAGCGAGAAGCAGCAGCCAAACAACCCGAGCACCCAGGATCACCACAGTTTCCTGCCCTGTAATTTTTTTAACATCACCAACTACATTAAGAGGTAAGCCGTGGCATTTCGTCTTAAAGGGGCACTATCGTATATTTTCCAGGCACATATAGCCGTAAAGTCACAGAGTTACCTCGAGTAGTTATACAAAAACATACATTCATCAAATATGCAATTAAACACCTTGAAATTGGGTCTCTAGCTCTTTAACAAGTTCCTAGTCTTTTCATCGCAAGACATCGCAAGAGCCAGAGCCAGAGGCCGGTGTTATGCCCAACACCTGTTACCTTGTTACCTTTGACCTTTTGCCCGTGACGCATGACGCAGTTCTTCTTCTTCTTGTTGTTGTGTTTATTGGCGGTTGGCAACAAACTTACTAGTAGCATTACCGCCACTTACTGGTATGGAGTGTGGCTCGCCGCATGACGCAGTTGCCTCTAGCGCAGTGAGATAAGGCGGTTAACTGAAGCTCAACGTAGCAAACGTTCCAGATTACAGAACACTTTTTGGTGAATTATATATTTAAAAAAACGTTTTTGGTGAATAAAGTGGAGTAGACTTGCTACTTGTCAGATGACGGAAAACGTTGAAGTCTCGTTTCTGCTTCTACACGGAGTCGCGGTTTAAGCAGAGAGGTAATGAAATACAACAGACACTGACAGGCCTCTATGTCTGGCTTACTCTGAAGAACTACTGAACGGGAGGAGACACTCGGGTAAGGAAAAACTGTTCTTATCTATCGATTCAGTATTTTTATCATACTGACATTAGGCTGTTGTTGTTGTGCCATTAGCTAGCTGCTAGCAAAGCTGTTAGCTAGCTGCTAGCTAACGACTTTGCTAGAAGCTAGATAAGTGAAAAGCTTCTTCCCTGTGTACGAGGCACGTTGCCCGTCCAAAACAGATCATCTCCATAATGAATATATGTCCGATCTTCTAATTTCCTTT